TTTTCTTTTCAGATCCAAATCACTTTTCTAAACATGAAAGCTACATTGGCTACTGAACAATTCCTCCAGTAGGAAGATAATTTTAGCAATAAGTTGTACATTTTTATCAAAAAAAATAGCAATTTCCTCATTTGATTACTTTAAGACTTTGGAGATGCAGTTTTATTTATATCTGATGACATTTTATCCATTAATTCTAGGAAGTCATTTCTGGTTTTTGCTATATTTGATTTTATTTTTTAGATGATTTGCCTACATCAATTCAATTGTTTTACACTGAAAACTAGAAAGGTTCATTTTTCTTCTTTGCAAATCTCCCTGTTTGTATTCTGTAATCTTTAGAAAACTAAACATGAGAATGGACCAAAAGCAGAGACCAGAACAAAGAATAATCAGGTCATAGGTATAGATAGATGCATATATAAGCATTCTGTCATTGAATGACATATCTCTCTCTCTCTCTCTCTCTCTCTCTCTCTCACACACACACACACACACACACACACACACACACACACACACACACGTGGAGAGAGAGAGAGAGAGAGAGAGAGAGAGAGAGAGAGAGAAATATACAGAAACATACACATGCAAACTCTGCAGGATAAGGCTGATGTTAAGAAAGGGACAAGAACGTTGACCACATGAATGCCATTTCTAAGAAAAAGGGGTGGAGAGAAAGGATTTTTACAGAAGCCTTATTTTCTGTGTCTTGATATTTTCCTTCAAAGGTCCCTATTATAATACCGTGCCACAGAGTGATTTGCAGCAGTGGACAGCCTGGCAACTACACGGGAGGAAGTCATCTGAAAGAGTGGCTTTTGTCACATGAAAAGCTTCAGAAGGAAAAGTTAACGTATTGATGCAGTTCAGGTACAGCTGTTACAGAGTGAAACCAGCACATCACCAAAGATACTTTGCTTATAACAAGCTTTCCAAACACACAGTAGAATTCAGGGAAATGGTAAATATTTGAGTGACATATAAATATAATACAACATCCGAAGCGAAATGTGTGGTGGCACTACTATATTAAAAAAGCTGAATGTGTCCTAGGGGATACAGCTTGTATGCCCTTTCTTGTTTTTACATTTTGCAGCAGAATGAGTACAGCGGACTGAGCCTGTTGTGCATGTATTTTGTTCCCATCTCTGGTGCTGTTTTGTTCTATTTTTAATGTCCATTAAAGCAAGGATAAGGGAGTGGGAGGGACATGGCAAATGTTCGATGGAACTGCCCCTCTAAGGAAGCATCTGGCTCGCAGAGGGGACAACCGGGAATCTGCTGCCTTTGCGTGCATTCGGAGAACAAAATTAAAGGCAGGAGCTTACACACAAACACACACACAGAGACCTCCCTCTCCCACTGTTCCTGCCTGGATTTGTATTTGTCCAGATTGAAAAGCTTGTGCCTCTGCCAGGCAGGCTGCCCAAGATTTCCCTGTTTTCTTTGATGTTTGAACTGTTGAAATGATGTTTTACGTAAACAGTTATTAATGAAACACACCCGAAGAGCCATTCAAACGGAAACGGCTATTGAATTGCCTATTCACCGTTTTTCTTTCTAGATGGTTTAGGAGATGCGAATAAAAATACTTAGTCTCTCTAAGCATGGCTTGGTGTAGGCAGAAAAATAAATTCTGTTGAGAAGTTTAACACCATGGTTTTAATACAATTATGCAACCTAGTTAAAGATAATAGATACTTTTGGCTGTCATTTAGAAGTATATTTCTGTCTCATTGTCGTCTTTTGCTCAGCATTTGCTTGATTCACTTTCCTATGTTGAAACATGTCATACCATATGGTAGCTTATGAAACATGTCATACCATATGGTACCTTATGAAAAGAATCAAAAAGTACACATTATAGTAAACATATAAAGCTAAACCAGGAAAAAATACACTCAGCCAAAGGATATTGAAGCTAAAATTTCTAGTTATTTAAAAAGAACTCTGAGAGTAAAATATTACAAACCACAAGAAGCTAAAATTTTCACTACTGTATGGGATTCATAAATCATAATATGAAAATACCGATTTTTATGCTTTTATTACATTCTTGAGGGAAAGCATGCTGCTAACAAAAATTATTGTGTGGTGTTATTCCATTAATGTATTGTTATTCAGATGTTAGAATTACTTTACTAAAACCCGTTATGCATGTACACATTGTCTGTGTATATAAATAAAATACTGTATATAATATCTTGAGAAAATAAACTATACCCTATTGTACAATAGAAGGCTGTATTTTATCAAGAGTTTCTGGTGGCAATGTAAACCATGAAAGCAAGACTCAAGTGGTTTGTGTGTGTCACCAAAAGCCCAAGATAAAAATATAACCTTATAATATGTACACAGAGAGTGTATTCTTTCTTGGGGGTGGTGTGGGAGAGTCATAATGTGTGAATGTGAGCCAAAGAGAATCACAGATGCTGTAACTTCTGTAAACATTCTTTTTTAAGGGCAACGGTGTGGGGGAGCAAATTTTTCAGTTGCACTATTTCTTTGCTGTTCTCAAAAATGAGTAGATCATACTTCTTCTAAAAGTTTTTTTTTTCTCCTATGTTTCCTACGTTTTCCTTAAACAGTATGATAAGAAACCAGAAAATATAAATACTGGTGTTTGGGGAAGAAGAAAACCAAATTGCAGATAATTTGAAACCTAATTTATCAGCCAGACCCTTGTTTTATCTGTCAGGCAAAAAACCTTGCCCTGAATTTCTCCGTGGTTTGCCTTGTCTTTGAGGTATCTCAAGGGAGTTCTATAAATGGGAATTCTGTGGAATATTTAGAACTTCTCTTGGCTGAAATGCCTTCTGTGTCAGGATTTGAAGAACTCAGTTGTAGCGTAACCTCTTTTTCCTTCTTCTGATACTAAAAGACCGAGTCAGGTTCATTCTTTTCCACTGAATTCATTTGGACATAATCAGTATCTCATCCAGCTACAAAAATTTAAGTGCATCATCTTGGCTCTGTGTCTTGTACACATTGCCCTATTTAGAGGATGAGAGTTGTTCTGTGGAAAAAAGCTGCCCAGTAGAAGAAAAACAAGTAGGAAAATTTAAAAGAAATAACTCAAGTTTAGTTAAGCAGTCACTAAAAAGTATTAGTGAGGGTTAGAGGTGAAGCATTTAAAAGAATGATAAAAATTCATTTGCATGAAGATAAAGATTTTGTTGGCTGACTAACACATTTTCACGAGCTGGTATCTCAATATTTGTTTTGCTATTGTAGGCCAAGCCGTTTATCCTTTTGTCAGCATGTGTTCCAACAGAGGGCACTGTAGCACACAAGAATTTAGATTCATGTCTTCTACAATGTGTTTAGGAGACACTCATTCACTACTTTTTTTTCCCTGCTGTTTAAGAATGAATTTGAAAATGAACAGCCAAGTTGAAATCTCCTAGTTGCCTTATTTGCAGTGCTTCAGACTGTCTGCCTCAGGAATTAGCTGTCTGGTAGTATTACAAGCCTACTATCTTCATCTCACATATGTATTGTGAAAAATACTACCGTTCCTGAGTAAGACGAAGAACAGGTTTTCTTTGCTGTGATTTCAGAGATTGTTAATGATGGCCAGGCTACAACTTGGCATGACCACTAATGAAGGGGGTAGTGAGAGTAGAACCTCTAGGGATTTTTCATAGAAAGGGAAGAATCCACTTACTGTTCATGTGTGCTTTTAGCATTCTTTCCATGTGCTGAAAGTGCTTGTGCCTCTCTATGATGTCTTAATAAGTGTGCAATATCTTTAATCTGGCATGACTTAGTGCTTGCCGTACTTAAACGCTTAGCCCAACCTAATTGAGGAGTAGTTTGCAAAACCTGAGTATTTCAAACGCTTTGGAATGAACTAAATGCATATCGCCTCATGCACAATTGTGTTGTGCTATGTCATACTAGACTATATATTACATTACATATTTATTATATTTATAGTCTGTATTGTATTATATGGTATTAATTATATTAATTCAGAAGTAGAATGGACAACATGCAAAGCTACTATTTGGTCAGCAGCCATGCCTCTCTGTTTTGCTAATTTAAAAGCCATTTTCTGTCTCTGAATTTTTCTCTGTCCTGTCATAAGTCTTGATATATATTCTGAGGTTTCCACCATAGAACACAGCAACAGCAGCTTGGTTCAAATAGGCATTGTGTGATGTGACTCCTACCACAAATCCAAGAAAGAAACAAGCAAACAGGAAAATGCAATTTGCTTGCAAATCAGCTTCAGCCCAACCGACTTAGAAGGCCAGCACTGCATCATTTATGAAAATACACTTGTAAATTTAAAGTTTCTTTTTTTAAAAAAAAATCCAAAACATTTTTTTAAAAGCCTCTGGGAATAAGAAAGAAAGCTATGGTTTTTTCCCCTCCCCCTGGAAAAGGGTTCCCCTGCCCTATCAAGTTTCCTCCCATTCAGCCAAGCTTTGAACTGCTGACATTGAGACAGTGCAGCCAGGCACGACAGCTGGCTCGGCAGCATCTAATACCAACACATGCTGGTTTAGTCCATTTCCAGAGACTAAGATAATGAAAGATTCAGAAATAATATTTGTTTTGGTAGAACTACATTTATAATGAAATAGATGCCCTTGACCATGAAACAAGCTGAATTTTGTAATGGGTCATTTCCTCCCTCCCGGTATTCAGCTTGTATTTAATGTGTAAGACACAAAATCCAATGCAAGGAGAAAAAAAAATTTTTTTGTATAATCCAGTCAATTTACAACATGTTATAAAGGCACCAGTCTCACAAAGTGGTCCACTGGTAAGGCTTTCTTATGCCTACCCTGCTATACAAGATTGTGGATGGGGAGAGTTGATAATAGCAGTATTTTATAGTACAAACCTAACATAAAAGAAATTGGCAGTTCAGAGTTTGTAAAATCCTCAAAAATAGCAGTCATTGCAACTTCTAAGTCATACATTAAAAGCAGTTGGTCACTATCTTGTGCTATGTAATGGTGGAAAATAGCAGTCTAAAAATAACAAACATTTTAAAGATGAGGAATTGCAAAAGCACTTTTTTCCTTCCAATCAGAATTTTTGTTTCCTATTTATTATATAAAATACAGTCAAATCCGATGAAAAATGATGAGGAATCTCATTTATAAAGAGTATACCTAATTCATAGAAGCAATATGTGAAATCTTTCCTCATATCAGCTTGGTATTATTGCATTTTCCTATTTAAGAAGAATATTAATTCAGAACTGCAAAAAGATTATTACTGTCAGTATGATAAAATTATAGGTATAGTAAAAGCTGAAAAGTAAATTAAAACTGCATTCCAATAAATATAATGGATCAATACTTTTCTAAAATAATATTTTGATAGATATTAAGTTATTGTGATATTAGTACCAAATATAATTCGTATTTTCATTTTCAATAGCTATTCCTTTTTTTTACCTTCGACATACATTCTGTGAAAGATTTAACTTAGGACCTCATTTCCCTTCTTTACTTAAAAAAATAAAATCTATTAAAAAGATATTGCTTAAAAACTAACATAATAGGAGATTCACAAGACTGATACGCTATTTCATGAATAATTGCACCATATGGGTCATATAGAAAAGTAAAATACCTTGAATTATTATCTCGCTACATTTCTTGTTATATTTTTAGTAAATAGAAATTTTACTTTAGCTTGAACCACCCTTCCTCTTCCACCTATTGCAATAGTAATCTATGTTTCCTTTTCTTCTTTTCTACTTCATTATAACTAGTTTCAAACCCTGGAAAAATATTACTGAGAGGAGTTTCTATTGTTTCTATTAATATATGAGCTGGACATATCCATCCAATTGATACACAGATTACACTTGTCAGAAGGCTGTGTTATTTTTGTTCCAAATAGCA